CCGAGCCATCGGGACTTTTTTAAAACGCTGCAGGACACAGTACAAATTGTTAAAAATCGGGACTGTCCCGCCAAAAGCAGGGCGTCTGGTCACCTTATACTAGCTCCACAACTTCCTAGCTATGTGACATGTGGCCTCATTTTTCTCATGTGTTAAACAAGAATGATACCAACTACCTCATAGATCCTGGTTTTCCTGAGTCACTGGGATTATGCCTTCTCTATCTGATCAGCACTCTGCTCCACTTTCAAAAGTTTCCTAGCTTTGACAATAAACTATTTGGTTAATAAAGGATTGTTATGAGTAGTTAACAAGACAATGCATATAATAGTCCTGGCATAATACTTTCTTTTCTAGTTGCCTCAAATATACCTGATACTTTGCTGTCTGAAATAATATCTCCAAGATCTCCAACTACAGAAGAATCTAGCCATATATTGCCTCAGATGCCACCTTCTGCCTTTGTCTAATTCCTATGGCATTCCATAACCCTCTAAACATGTCTCTATACTAGCTTGGGTCACGGTCATGGTTTTTGGTGCACATGTTTTAACTACCTCAGAGATTCACTGTTGGGAGGACTTTGTCTTCTTCTGAATCCCCTTAGTCCCACACATGATACCGAGTAGTGTCTTCCTCACTGAAGATACTAATTAAATTTGGAAAGAATATAGAATTTTGGCCACAGGCTGTTTATTCGAGCCTTCTGCTCTCTTACTCCCTTAAAATCATTTCACTTGCTCATTAAGGCCACACCAAGATGCCTATAATTCTAGCACTCTGAGAGACTGAGGGAGGCGGGTTTCCTAAGCTCAGGAGATCAAGACCAGCCTGAGCAACAGTGAGACTCCCATCTCTACTAAAAATAGAAAAATGAGACAGGCATTGTGGTGGGTATCTGTAATCCTAGCTATTTGGGAGGCTGAGGCAAGAGGATCACTTAAACCCAAGAGTTTGAGGTTACTGTGAGCTAGAGCACCACACCACAGCACTCTACTAAGAGTGATGAAGTAAGACTCTGCCCAAAAACAAACAAACAAAAAAAGGTGTTTGCCAGGAACGCCACCTACTAACATGATGTAGGCCACCAAGGGTAGACTATAGGGAGGAGAGAGCAAGGAACGGATGATGTCTCTCAAAATTTGGGGTTGTACATCTTGAGTGCATGGTAGTACAATTACTCAACACAGAGAAATTTAAGAGAGGAGGAACTGTTTTGTTACTAGAGTATAGAACCCAAGGAAAAGGCGCCTTGGCAGAGTTGGGAATTTAGATGGCAGAGCCTTCCCTGCCCACACACCTCTCACCATTCTCAAGTTAAAAAGGAAACATCATGACTGCAACTTGGGAATATTTAGGGCTGAGTCATAGGTGGCCACAAGTCAAGCCAGACCAAAAGGAGTGTAGTGAAAGAACCAGAAGCTTTAGCATAGATGGAGCAGGGGGTTGGGGCTCTCTACATCTGAACACTTTTTTTGGCCAAAAGATATCAATAATGATATAATTTAGTGTGCTTATGTTGAGGGGAGTAAGGGGAGAAAAAGAAAAATTCAGTGCCCAGAGTATCTCACATGCCTAGTATTATAATATCTATTTAATTTCCACTAGATGGTCCCTGTCCTGGATTTATTTCTAATTGTTCTATTTTATAATTTCTATGCAGATCTATATTCCTCATAGAAGTAGCAAGGCCAGAAATCCTAAATTAATAAAAAGCCACCTAATGCCAGAATGGTATTGGGTTGCAAAGTATCAAAATATGACATCACTAAGGGAGCTTACTATGAACTCCTCAACAGATTCTTTGGTCTGACCACAGGTCTATAAATACTTGAGTGTTAAGGTAGGAAAACTCAGAAGAAGAAATTGGCATTTATTGCCACCAAAAGTGAAACTTTGTAGTCCCGTCTCTCCCCACCCTTTGACACACAGAACAGCCTTACATGAAACAGGAAGTTCTGAATCATAATTCTGGTTAAAACATAAGAACCTATAGTTTATTTCATAATGCTAACACAGTGACAAGAAGGGGGAAAAAACACCCTGGAAGCTCAATGAAAAAACGATTCTTTAAGGAAAAATTTAAAAATGAAGCTTTTCACAGCAGCAATAAAGCACAGGAGAGAAAAACTAACATTTAAGAGAAAACTGTAAACTATCCATGCTTAGGGGAGGCAGTGCAATGCAGTAGGGCTAATCAGGTAGACAGACTAACAGAGAGCGAGCTGGGCAACATTGATTATCAGGAGCTCCAGGGTCTAGTCCTAGCTCTAAGTACCAGGTGACAGCTATGTGGCCAGAATAAGTCTCACTGGGCCTCAGTTTCCTCCCTTGCAAGATTAGATGTTTGAAATAGATAATCTCTAAGGATTACTTCCAGTGTATAAAAGTCTCTAATTTTATTTCTAATTTTATTTTTTATGCCACAATTGATAACACAGTTAGGACAGTACAATGGGTCAGGGTTTTGATAACTATCCCATCTTCATCTAGAAGAATGTGAGGTAAATACTGTATCCTTTTGCATATTATAATAGTAAAGGCCAACATTTACAAGTGCCAAGAGCCAGGAAGTGTTAAAAAGGCTAC